TTTGAAATGTTCGGAGACATATATTTTAAAGCGAAATGCTTATATTCTAGAAGTTTCCAAATCGCAGTAACAAAGAAGCAAACTGTGAGTTCAGACGGGGTTGTTATTCCTCGAGTCAATAACACTATTCTCGTGGATATGGGAAAACAAAACTTTGATATATTTTCCAGGAAATACGGCGAGGGTATTACGTTCGATGGTTCTCAGGAGCATTCATTTTAATAAATGTAATATAAGATAAATATTTCAACAGAAAATTTAATTTATCTATTATACTGTAGTTTCCAAGTAGTAAATTTACCAAGTATTTATATAGTTGCGCCTTATTCGAATCCTATTAATATTATAAATGTGAAAGTTTCTTTGTTTGGATGTTTGTCGGTCAATCACGCCGAAACTAATGAACGGATTTTGATGAAATTTGGTATACAGATAGGGTATTGGCTGACTAAGATAATAGGATACTTATTATCCCACTAAATATTTCCTTAGAGACCATGCGGGCGAAGCCGCTGGCGAAAGCTAGTAAGATATAAATTTCTTTATCCTTGGTTAACTGACACAGCAAACTCTTGACTACTATTTTAGAAACTGAAATATAGCTTATCTCACTTGCTGTTGAGGTTTTTCTATTACAAAGAAAAATCTAAATATTTATCTTTATATTTGTATTAATCGCGTTAAAGTTCGAAACATTTACGATGAGATATGTTGTAACTTATTCATAGTTACCCATATTTTGGAGGTAAGTCTTTCGTAATTAGAAACTCGAGATTACAAAATATTTTTCCTTGCATTATAAAACAAATCTATCTGTCTGTCGAGATAAATTTCGGAAACGAGTTTTTGTAGCACTATTCACCAACGTATAAAACGGCGGAAAAAATTTTTGGTGTAAAATTCGATAAAATATATTTATACCAATATTATAAAAAGGTAAAATTTCTAATTTTGTTTGTTTGTAATGGGTAATCTTCGGAAATACGGTTCCGATTATGATTTTTTTTATCACCTCCGGGAAGCTTCATCACAAGTAGGTGATATCGATTATAATTTACACGGGCGAAATTGCGGGAACAGCTAGGATCAAATATAATCTTTGTTTTAGATGTCGGAGAAATCATACCGACTGGGTATTGTACTGTGGAAGTTAAATTGTATTATATAAATACTTTTTAATGAATTGATAACTGTACAACATCACATACATTGTTCAGATTCCAAGATGAATAAATAAAACCCCCGTATCATGGTTTATCTGAGACAATGAAGGTATCACAACACCCAGACTTGAGACAATATAAAAAAGTCCATTTCTACATTGACCTGACCGGGAATAAACCCGGAACCTCAGAGATGTCGACCTCAGAGATGATCCACGCGGCCACATTATAATTAAATTATAATAGAATAAAATACGAGAGAACTTTAGCTTACGTTGACATGGATGACCATCAACAGTAACCTAGCAATCTACTCAAAACTTATATCAAGTTTATTTATAATATTTTCACGCGCACTATCCATATAACTAAAGACTATGTGAACACGGAACCTGTAAAGAGTCTGACACGTCAATAAAAGAAAATACAAACGCGATGAAACAGTTTAAAAGTTGTTTCATTTTACATAAAACCTCGATGAAGTAAAGATATTCTTATATGACACTTCCTTTTAAGAGAGCAGGAGCTTATTTCCTAAGATATTTTAGCAGCACCTGCGTGGCGCTGCGCAAATTTCGTTCATATATTTAGTAAGAAACTGATTATATAAACCACGACCCATGTATCAGGGACATGTATGAAACGGCACGCGACACGGTGAACTATGTATAACTTCCGCTTGGGGCTCATTTATGCTTCGTAACGCAAAATTACCCATCAAAATCTAATTTTAAAAATTTTTTAAACATAATGCTTGGCTAAACAGCTACTCTAAATAAGTTTATTTCGATGATACAATAAAAGCTAATAAACGAAAAACCTTTTGCTTCCAAATAAGAATGGGACCTATTTCGACACCGTGATCACTAAGATCCGAAACAATGTAATTTCTTGACTTGACGAACCAGGAAGTTTTGAGATGTTGCCACATTTGGCAAGCTCGTTTCTCGGCTCAGAAAATCTTAACTTTCACTTTTATTTATTTTTTTCAAAGCTTAATCACAAATATTACGCCAGTATTAAAGTGCAAACCAAAAAGCTAAGCGTATTATAATTTCCCGAACTAACATTGAAAAAAGTCATCAGTCCCAATTTATCTACACGTAATTCAAACCCTCAAATATTTAAGTATCTCCTTAAAATTAAAAGCTGTACCAGCACCTATGTGCCATTTAAATGCTCCCTTATGAAATGCTACTCTGGAGTCTGGAACATTAGTATGTGATGAAACGTTACAGTGTCGATCATTATATCACTGAGGGGGACGAAGCGACATTAGATTGCGCAACTTGTGATATTACATAGTCAAGCTTTACTCTTGATGAAGGAAGACAACCAAACATACGATGCACAACATGAAAAAAAATAGTAAAACTTGAATCTTTGAAACGTCAGAGCAGTATTTTCCAAACTATGGATCGCGAACAAATATTGAGTGTGCCTTCACCATTGTACAAGATACGAGTTTTTTTTTTGCCCTCTTCTTCTGTAAGACAGCAAAGAGGCAGATTCTAGTACTGGAATATTTTTGTAAGATGGGCCAGAGCCGAATCAACTTGGGCAACCACTGCATTAAAGGTAAATCCTGGCTCCATATGAAGGACCTTTACATTGTCTATCTAAGTAGTCGTCAACCATATACGAAATGAAATTAAAAAAGAATTCGAAGCTCTATTTGAGTGTTCGGCAATTTATCCAGAATAAAATCTGTATCTGCAGATTGTAGCCAACCAAATGAACTATCTTGAACGGCAATTTTTCAAAATATGCTCAGCGGAGCTATGACTCCATAGCTCCACAAGGCATATGTTAGGAATTCCAAGAAAATATTAGTCAATTTCCACAAATGATTAGAGCTCAAATATATATGTAATTCATGTAATCTACTTAAATCTAGGTTTTATTTAATTTTTAGGTGCCGTGTAAATATTTCCAAAAATGTTTCGTAACTAAATATATGAGAGATATGAGAGTATTCTGTACGATGACCTAAAATTTTGTTGAGTTTAAATAAATAAAAAGTCTCTGTTATTTTAACATATTTTGTACAGATGATCTGTTTTGGGCTACTTAAATATAATATTTTTCTGTATTTTTTACATTATCGTCATGAAAAGTATATATCATAATGTAATAAAATTATTTTAAATTCAATATCTCTGTATATAAAACGGGCAGAGAAAAGTTTCATGACGATTTTCTGAAACAGATTGGGGTGGCAGTAGTGGTATCCAAACTGGGAATTCTACAACTGCGATTTTTTCACGTCTACATACGTACGTATATTTATATCTTTACATATATTATAAAGAGGAAATATTTGGTTTTTATTTGTTTGCGTTTAATAGACCCCGAAACTATTGTAATGATTTTAAAAATTCATTCACCTATGGCTACATTACACGCGGGTGACATTGTCTATAAACTACGCGGGCGAAGTCGCTTGAAGTCGATTGATTTCAAAATAAACGTATTAATTTAAATTGTGGTTTATAACATATATTTTAATAACATTATATAAATTTGGTCTATATTATAAATTTTATAATGATTCTATTCGAAATTTCGAAAATTGGACTTTAATTTCCCTCGCTTCACCTTTTATATGGTTAGCTATTTAATAAAATTATTTTCTCGTGACTCGTGACTATAGACGTGCGAAATTTGATATTAGAAATTAATCATTACCACTCGCCGTGAAAGTGAATATTACATTCAGATCATAATGTATATCAGTCCATAAAGATATCATAAAAAAATATTCGATATAACTAGAAATTGGTTTTCCCTAAATTTTATACAATAGGTAACTAGCAACCCACCCCGGCTTGCCACGGATGCGATTTACAAGACAAATTAAGCTGCTTTCTACGACAGCTGTAATTGTCTATTATCTTTATTTATATATCATATTACTTCAGTCAATTTGAATAAAACCATTGCGAATAATATAGCAAAAGCTTCTTTATTAAATAACTTCTCCATCGTTGAAACATGAAAATACAATCGCGTTTAATTCAAATAGACAAGTCGATAAAAACACTCTTAAAAGTGAAATAATATTTTTAAATTCAGTAAATAGTTTTATTTAGTTATAAGTAGCTAAAACTTCAGTATTATTCAAGAAAGTCATAAATTAAAAATGTATTTATCTATTCTATTTGTATCTATTTTAATAAAACTTTGACCTTTTTAGTTTATAGTTATAGCTTGGATTAAAATATTATAGAATGCTGTTCAACCCACAAAAGGCATATAAAAATAAAGATTCAACTTTACATAATATTCTTTAAGTTTTTATTAATAAACACTATATAAAAGTATAATATCAATTACTTTGATTTGGTAACTTATTTACCAAATCACGGACTCAATTCTTTACAACATCGTAATTCTACAATGAAAGATGTAAGACATCACTAGTGTTAACGATCTTTTATATATATCACTGTGATGAAATTAATGATATTCTCATTACATTATAATTTCACATTATTATATTAAAATATGGATTTGTTTCAAATTTTATACGACTTAAGTGTAATTGCATTAATATATAATTTGTTTTTGTTATATGATTATATTATATTTTGATATAACGAAATTTAGGAGAAACCACTCTTCGTACATTCAGTGAAAAGATTTAAGTTACTATTCGTTCTCCGTTACTAAGTTAACTTCAGTGAAGTCGGATGCGGTAAGTCGTCCGCTCTCGCTACGAACCAACGCTTTCCGTGAGATTTTCCTCAATACAACAGTGTCCCACGTATAAAGTAACAACAACAAGCTTTTTGTAAAAAAAATAAAAAACAATAAAATAAAAAAAAAATAACCAACCAAAAATTCCGGAGCAAAATAATCCAAATGAAAATTGTGCACAAAATGGAAAATACACTTCACACAAATAGAATCAGTCGGCACATAGACAAATAGCACACAAATAATAAAAATAAGCTCTGAACGTCTAAACGCACTTTTAACACAACACACAACTTTACCGTTTGCCCGCCAACTGCAACTTTTCGGGAAGTTTTTCGAATTCGATTTAAAAAAAAAAAGAAAAATATGGAAATCGCGTAGTTTCGCGGTTCCGTTTAGCGTTCGCGTCGTGAACGCGTGACGCTCCCGATCGAGTGCGAATGGTATTTCGGCTATAATGGGGAGGATGTGCGCATAGCTGCGGCTTAGATGAGACTGTGGCGTGGTACCGCGGCGGTCCAACTGTGTGGCCGAAGCCGACTTTCGCCCCGACCGGTCGCCCTACAGATCGACCGACGAGTGACGCATCCAGGAACATTTAATTCACTCTGTTTAACACTATGAATAATTTTTCTCGGGATCACTCCTAATGTTTGTCACATTTTCATCAATCTTGTAAAACAGAAATAATTAGAATGGCATGATATCCGAATAGTTGGGAATATTCGTAAATAAGTTAGGGGTTGCAACGCAGCGAAATACATTGACATTTTTTGTTGTAGTATGCCTATTGTGGTCCCGTGTTACATTGTTATTGCAAATAATCAAATATTCGGATAGGAAGTGCGTTGTCATTATAAAGAATTAGGCTTATTCAAATGTAAATTTCGGCAGGTAAAGGTTTGGGGGAAGCATAATAAATTTTGTTGCTAAAAATTTGTATTAGAATTCTTGGATTCACTTAATGATAATGATATAAAAGTAAAAGGATTTTCTCCATTATCAGAAATGAAAAGACAAAGCGAAACAATTAAAACATTTCATAGAGGTCACCAATTATTTTCAATAAATGCTTATTGAATTATTACAAACATTATTTCTTTGAACAATGCAATATTCACATAGTATTAATATGTATGATTGTAAAATTATTCCTTATTTATAAAGAAACAACATAAATTTGGAACAGTTTAGTTAAAATTGTTGACTAATATAAACCGCAAACCATAATACAGTTTCCCCAACTAATGAAATGTTGTGAATTATAATTCACAAATGAGTGAATTATAATTTTCTATTCATAATTTAGCTATCAATATTTGTTTTAGTTCTATATTTAGACCGATATAAAGCTAGCTGATATGTATTGCGGATTATAAAATGACGCGTAAACCCAAAATCGCCAACTTTAAAATTTGTCTATTATTATATAGAGGAAAGAATGTTTGTTTATTTTTTTGCATGGAATAAACTCTAAAATTACTGGACCGATTTTTGAAATTCATCTACCAGGGAAGCAGGCGCAGTCACTGAAAACAGCTTTTAAATTTAATTCGCAATTTTTCACCTCTTATTATAATTATACCTCTTAAAAGGGAAAATTGATAAGTTCAAATATAAAGTCTTAATTATTTTTTTTTAATTTTGCCCCTAAAATAACAACACTTTTTGTCCCATAAAAATGTTCGTTCCCTAGAGAATACAATATAACGTTAAAACAGAGTAAATAGCAGGCATACATTATTTACAGATGTAAATAAAAATAAGCTGATACCAGGACATCAGAAGCGTTCAAAAGTTATATGACCCAGTTACAGCCAATGGACGATAACGGAGGACCGCCAGGAAACGTCAGGACTCCGCGACGGGACTCCGCCCGTCCAGTCCACTGTTTACAACTGTTGGACTGCAGTTGCCAGCGATTAGTTTCTTGTTTGTATGTAGGTGCAATTTCGATAGTGGATTCCATTTATTGAGAACGTTGTGAATAAACAAGTAAACTTTCCTAGGTATATTAGGAATTTATCCATTCTAGATCAACAAAAAAGAACTAAACGAATACAAAAATGATATTCTTAAATATTTATGAAAAAATTCTACTGTAATCGAGAGGGTGCTAGTGCAGTATTTAGAGTCTGGTCAACGACTGCAGACGTTAAGCAATAGGCCGGTGATAGGATGGGTGACCAAAAACATAATTATGTCAAGTTCTCCCTTGCTTAGTAGTGGACGTTAATTCGTATTTCGTACGAAGCTTGCGTGGTGGATTAATTTTCCTAGTGTGATTACGTTTCAATTTTTATATCTACTTTTGGGTTCATATTTCTAAATATACTTATATCATAAGCGATATACTTGACAACACATTTAACTATCATTGTCGTCTGTTTTAACGTAACCGACATTTGTATAAGAATTTGAACTACTAATTCAAAACTTAACATTTACATCAATTTTCATTCAGTAAATCAGTACAATTTACTAAAATAATGACGACTATACTTTAATTATATTAAAAAACCTTCTCATGTAAAATACACAAAATGTCGGTTACGATGTTCTTTCTGAAAAGGGTCGATATGATCACCAAAACTAATCTATTAAAAGGACACCGTCGCACACAGCTTTAATATTATGTTCAATAAAGTAATCATCATCAGCCTTTTTACATCCCCGCTGCAGTGGCTCAGGTCTTCCTTATGGATGGTTGAAGAGGATGGGCCATGACCCTCTACGCTGACCCAATGCGTATTGAAGGGTATTAATAACTTCAAATGCAGCTGGGATCAACGGCTTGACGTGCCTTCCGCAGCACGGAGATAATATTTTTTGTCACCCATCCCATAACCAATCCTTGTGAAAGTTGCTTAGCAACAGCGATTGCGTGCCACGTTGCTTATCCACTACGCCATTGAGAGAAATAAAACCTACTTATTTTGTTGAATCTCTAATGCTGTGTCAACGCTGTGTTCTAAACTGTATTTTTGTCCCCAACAGAAAAAAATATGAGATGCTTCATTAAAAAATCACACAGTATCCAAACAAAGTTTTTAAAACATACATTAGGAAGCAGACACATATCGTACACGGTAAATGTAAATATTTGAGAAAAGATACTTTGCGTTTTTTCCATTGGCTAAATCAACAATGTTGTGACAAAAATGTCATATCAATAATAGTAATCAACTAGGAGTCTAGATTCATTTTTATTCTACGTACATTTAAATGATTTATATTTGTCGTAAAGACCTATTTATTTATCATGCGCAAAAATATGTTACCCTAACATATCAATGTGTTAAGTTGCATCTGAAGTCATTTCAACATTCCACACTGGGCCCAAATGAATCGCTATGACTCATTCTGACTTACACATTTTATATTATAGGTCAAAACAGACCTTATACAAAATAATTAGTGTACGACTTCGTCCGCGTATACTTCCTTTCAATGACGAACTTACAAACAAACTTTCGTCCCCTATTTCTACCTCTTCACGTCAAAATGTAACCTATGTCCTTTGCCAAGCCATTGCTATGCCCTTTGCTTATACATTTATAATATTACCAATTTATCAAAAACTTTTTTATATAATTATTACATTTATTGTTTAGTTAATTTAGAATTGAGACGTGTGAAAACAAAAATATGTTTAATACAAACAAACAATTCTACACACTTTATCATAAGAAAACAGGTCTCTTAAAAGTGACGCACATTTTAAGTCATAAAATCAAATACATAAAAGATGAATCCATGAATGAAATTGTATTGCAATTGTCTGCCCTTTCGATGTGAGACTGTCTACGATGTACAATTGTTTATGCTGTGTTAGTTTTAAGACCATTGTTTAGTGTGACTACTTTGGAACAACTAAACTTTTCCACAATTGTCAGAAGATGTGCCAAGTGTATGATTGTTTGAATATGAATCAGGAATAAGTGAGATTTCAACAGGCAAATACTACGTTTGAAATAGTTATACTGAAAGAAAAGGCAGAAGCGGTAAATCTTAAACATCGTCACCCGCCTTTCTGTTTGTTCGAAATTTCAGATAACCTTGAAACGTAATCGATAATTTTATAGAACTCATATCTGTAAAAAATTATCTGTGCATCATAGGTAATGTCAGATCATTCTGTGCATCAGAAAATAATCAAAAAATAATGAGCATAGGTGGCCTATTTAAAAGCCGTCATGGTACAAAATGATAACAAGCGAGAATATAAACTGAACTGAATTCTATAAACACTATTTATTATAAGAATATTAGCTCATTTGCAGCTTATATTAAACTAATCACAGTTAAATATACAAATAGATAAAACTATGAACTAAACAAAAATGTTAATAAATAGAAACCATGTTCAAGCAAAGCATACATTCATAAGAAAACCGCAAAAGAAAATCAAGCCGACCGGTTTGATAATGAAGTTTATCTGTTACATCTGATCGGACATCTCACTCGTCGCGGTAGCTGCAATAAACAGAAATCTGATACTCCACTGGTGGATACCACTTAAACCAACAGATCTCGCTGATAACAGCCATCGTACGCTATATTATTTACGGCCTATACTTGTGCGCCAAAATCGAACGCTTTTTATAGCAATAGGTAATACAGTATGAGCTGAAAATAGTTTTATGAGCTAACAACACTTTCAATTAACTGGCTCTTTACAAATAATTGTTTCACTAGTTTAAAAAAGGAATCTTGGCCTACAGTAGTGCGCTCAAATCTAAAGCTTTGACCTCACTACATTTTTAATTGAGTGGTTCATTATAAAAATGGCTTCCACTATATTTTGAAAATTGGATTTCGCCAATATCGAATTCGAAGCTGTTAGTGATCTGCAACGCAAACCTTGTTGGCAATTTACTTTCAAAAATTCTCAGTACTAAAAATAAATATGTATTTACAAATTTAGAATGTAATAAAAATTTCAGTTCAGGACAAAATATACGGTTGGGTTGCTGGTTTTCTACACAAAATGTCTTGGTAGATTGGCCTCGAACTTCTGCAATTGCAATAGGTAGTATGAACTGAAAATATTTTTAACGATCTAACGACATTTTTAATTAAGTGGTCTATTATAAAAAAAAATTACAACTATATTTTGAAAATGGAAACATTAATCTAGATTTGTTCGCCAAAATCTAACGTTTTTAGGGACCTTTAGGCACTAAAGACCTATCTAGCACATTATAGATGTTTTCCAATAATTGAAAAAGGGAAGGTTAAATAATGTAACACTTTTGTTGACAGGCTCATCGAGCTTTTATAATTACTTATTTTTTTATTTACTTTTTTAATTTGTTAATTTTCATATAAATATACACGGTTAATTTTAAGTACATCTAAAATTTGAAGAGGATCAGAACACTTAATACATTATATCTGTGCAGATAGATTTTAAAAAGTTCATCGTCAATCTGAAATCGTCTCTGGAAACACATAAATATTAGTAAATTCGCAAATGAATTAGACAGGAAGCCGCGA